AGGTTTCTCCCACTGCCAATGATGGGGGAACTCAGTAGATTGGACTTCCAGGAAGTGGCGGTCTCTTGTGCCCCCACCCCCCCATCACCCATAGGTTTCTCCCACTGCCAATGATGGGGGAACTCAGTAGATTGGACTTCCAGGAAGTGGCGGCCTCTTGTGCCCCCCCCATCACCCATAGGTTTCTCCCACTGCCAATGATGGGGGAACTCAGTAGATTGGACTTCCAGGAAGTGGCGGTCTCTTGTGCCCCCACCCCCCCATCACCCATAGGTTTCTCCCACTGCCAATGATGGGGGAACTCAGTAGATTGGACTTCCAGGAAGTGGCGGCCTCTTGTGCCCCCCCCATCACCCATAGGTTTCTCCCACTGCCAATGATGGGGGAACTCAGTAGATTGGACTTCCAGGAAGTGGCGGTCTCTTGTGCCCCCACCCCCCCATCACCCATAGGTTTCTCCCACTGCCAATGATGGGGGAACTCAGTAGATTGGACTTCCAGGAAGTGGCGGCCTCTTGTGCCCCCCCCATCACCCATAGGTTTCTCCCACTGCCAATGATGGGGGAACTCAGTAGATTGGACTTCCAGGAAGTGGCGGTCTCTTGTGCCCCCACCCCCCCATCACCCATAGGTTTCTCCCACTGCCAATGATGGGGGAACTCAGTAGATTGGACTTCCAGGAAGTGGCGGCCTCTTGTGCCCCCCCCATCACCCATAGGTTTCTCCCACTGCCAATGATGGGGGAACTCAGTAGATTGGACTTCCAGGAAGTGGCGGTCTCTTGTGCCCCCACCCCCCCATCACCCATAGGTTTCTCCCACTGCCAATGATGGGGGAACTCAGTAGATTGGACTTCCAGGAAGTGGCGGCCTCTTGTGCCCCCCCCATCACCCATAGGTTTCTCCCACTGCCAATGATGGGGGAACTCAGTAGATTGGACTTCCAGGAAGTGGCGGTCTCTTGTGCCCCCACCCCCCCATCACCCATAGGTTTCTCCCACTGCCAATGATGGGGGAACTCAGTAGATTGGACTTCCAGGAAGTGGCGGCCTCTTGTGCCCCCCCCATCACCCATAGGTTTCTCCCACTGCCAATGATGGGGGAACTCAGTAGATTGGACTTCCAGGAAGTGGCGGTCTCTTGTGCCCCCACCCCCCCATCACCCATAGGTTTCTCCCACTGCCAATGATGGGGGAACTCAGTAGATTGGACTTCCAGGAAGTGGCGGCCTCTTGTGCCCCCCCCATCACCCATAGGTTTCTCCCACTGCCAATGATGGGGGAACTCAGTAGATTGGACTTCCAGGAAGTGGCGGTCTCTTGTGCCCCCACCCCCCCATCACCCATAGGTTTCTCCCACTGCCAATGATGGGGGAACTCAGTAGATTGGACTTCCAGGAAGTGGCGGCCTCTTGTGCCCCCCCCATCACCCATAGGTTTCTCCCACTGCCAATGATGGGGGAACTCAGTAGATTGGACTTCCAGGAAGTGGCGGTCTCTTGTGCCCCCACCCCCCCATCACCCATAGGTTTCTCCCACTGCCAATGATGGGGGAACTCAGTAGATTGGACTTCCAGGAAGTGGCGGCCTCTTGTGCCCCCCCCATCACCCATAGGTTTCTCCCACTGCCAATGATGGGGGAACTCAGTAGATTGGACTTCCAGGAAGTGGCGGCCTCTTGTGCCCCCCCCATCACCCATAGGTTTCTCCCACTGCCAATGATGGGGGAACTCAGTAGTAAAATAAATCAGGGCAGCCGGACTCGCTGTATTTGTCCTGAAGACGTTTCGCTCGTCATCCGACCAGCTTCCTCGGTTCAGAATGGCTTGTAGAAGAATTCTATGGGAATGAATATGGTGAACGTCGCTCCGATCCGCATCATGTGTTCATCATAACCAGCATGGGGGTCAGAGACGCCATGGAGGTCAGGTGCTGATTGCATTTGCATGATTGGAGCTAGCAAGTGTTATTAACATGATTGGAGCTAGCAGGTGTTATTAACCCGCCCAGAGAGAGAGGTGTTATACAGCATTGTATGTGGCAGGCAATAGATGCCCCCCCCCCCCCCGGCCACCTCTATTCAAGCCCGGCATCTCCATTTAACACAAATGGCCTCTTTTACACCTCTTCCTTCAACGGAGGATTCCTTTTGAACAGAGGCCACGCGTTCAGGGGAGAAGGTATCCTCTGATCTTTTTTGGCTGTACAGAGGCAACAACAAACGTTCTTAGTAGATTTTCTTTTCAGGTTAAATGTAATGTAATTTCGTATTGTGAACACTAGATGGAGCTGAGGAGCATTAGAAATAAATACTTTGGGGGTCTGTTCACTAAGCTGCCGTAGGATCTAGCCGTAGCTTCGGCCCCAGGAACCCTTCAGCTCAGTAGAACCGAAGGGCCTCCTGTACTGTCTATTCACTGTGGCCCGTACAGCTCCCAAAGTTGGTCGAGCCCAAAGGCATATGCCTCCACTGGACTGAGCCGAGGTGAAAGCCATTGGCCAGCCGACAGCCTGCTACCGACAGCTGGGCGGAGCCAGGTGCCATTTCTCACGGCTGGCTTCGGCCACTTGCAGAGACAGATCAGCGTCCCCTGGTTACCGGGGGACGCTGATCTGTCATTACACCGAGAACCCGGCTTTCATATCCCCGCCGGTTCCCGACAAGCTCTCATCGAAATGACAGCTGGTCCCGGGCCAATAGAAAACAGTTTGGCGGAGCTAGCTGTCACTGCTGCACGGCAGCTTTGTGAATAACCCCCTCAGTTCCTCCTCAGCTCCATCTAGTGGCCATTATGCGGTAGTACATTACATTAGATGCATGGGCACCAACGTAACCTTTTGGATGCCGGCAGCGGGGCATTTGAGATTCTCATTAGATGCGTCTGCACCCCTCCCCCACCCCACCCCCCATGGCCTTCCAGTCCCTTGTAGTCTCCATCAGAAGCTCATGTGACAGGATGACAATGCAGGAGAGCAATTGGGAGACAAGGACAGAGCGACCGCCACTTCCCGGGAGAGCCAATCTACTGAGTTCCCCATTACTGTCAGTGGGAGAAACCAGTGAGTGCTGGGGGGGGGGGGGGGCT